AAATACATGGTTTTATATGTTAAAAGAAAGGGACTGCCACTTTCAAATTATAATTAAGAAGTGACAAACTGCACTCCTGTCAAATTAATGTTTACTGATTTGTAGTATCAAAAATGCAAATTTAAGAAACTAGGAAATGTCCTGAGATTCGTCTAAATTCTCAATGTTCGTTGAGGCACAATCTGAAAGCAACTAGTACAAACTCATAAAACAAAGCTGAATTACTTCAAGTATTACAAAAATATTGTATAATTTTTAGATTTAAAAACATAAGAATGTTGATAAATCATTGGAATAAAACAATAATTTGTTTAAAAAATTTTAAACATTCCCTGAAATGGAATGTTTCAACTAAAAGGGCAATCCATTAACTTCATATACAAAACATAACTAACTATCCACATTTGAGTTAATCTCGCATAAAAGCCTTCTTCTGATTAGCTTTTACAACGTCATCTGGAGAAGGTGTTTGAAAATCAAAAGGAATTATATCAAACAAAGGTCCCTGGACTTTCCTTTTCACTGATTTCATCTGTTTGCTGTATAAGAAGGCTCTATGGGTGCAGACTGTTTTTTTCCTTAAGTTCTTACAAGGGAACTGAGCAGACAAAGTCAAAGCAAATACTGAAGGTTCGGCAAACACAGAAGACTTGGAGCCTCGCCAAAGCTGAGTCTTGTAAGAAATCGACAAATATTTGTCCTCAAAGCATGTTAGCTTCCCATCTTTTAATTTTGTTGATGAAATAGCTGCCAAGCTGGATTCAGGTGGTTGCTGGATGAGCACACTCAAATCTATATTCATGTCTTGTGCAGAAATAGGCTGTAATATAAGCACTTTTGATCTGTTACATGGTAATGGTGATTTCTGTTTACTCAGAACACTGCTGTGGCTCAAGTTATATTGAGAGACGTTTTCTCCCTTGCATTTTGTCATTTCAGCTGACGTAAGTGAAGACGAAGTTGCCACCTTTGACGCAGAATCCATTGAGATACCATGTTCAGAAGCTAAATGTGACAGTGACACATTTCCCCATGACAAAGGTACACTGCTTTCTTCTGGCTTGCTCTGGATATCAGGAAGGGAGTTATAAAGAGTCGGACTGCTGTTTTTATGCTCTTGTATGAGGTCTGCCAAGGAAGGGCTTCCCACATGCTTCACTGTACTGCTGCCACTTCCACTATAAATGTCTAACGGGCTGCTCTGCAGAACAGAGTTGAGGCTGCTGAAAGCCTCAGGCTTGGACTCTTGTATTGCCGAGAGTGATAAACTGCCCAAAGATGTAGAGAGGGGACACCCCCTAGGAAGTGAAGGGTTTAAATCAGCCAGACTACTTACACCACTTAAAGAAGCAGTACTCTGGGAGCCTTCAGTTACAGTAGAGACTGAAAAACCACATGGGATGTTCTGCAAGGACGACAGCTTGAACAAGCCAGACTCGCTTCTTTTAGGTGCTACACTAGTGTCTGTTAAGGTCAGATTACTTAAACCTGAACATCCTTGACTTTTCTTCTCATGTTCTGCAATCAGTTGCGACAGACTGATTTTCTCTAAGTTATCTACTGTGAAAGAATTCTTCCTTTGCAAAGGCAGGTTTAGTAGGTTACCCTGGCAAGAACTCAAAGCTTCCTCATGGCCAGACTCCACAGTAAGGTTTTTAAAAAGTATGTCGCTTGACTCAACCTGAGGCTGGACTAATAGGTTACTTAGATTTAAACTGGCTGTTGTCTGTCTATTGTTCTTAGAAATTCCAGTATCTGAAGAACAAAATAAGGCTCCTTACCTTACGATAGCCAAAAACATCCAAATTGGATGGAGAGAGTCCACAAAGATGACAATGAGGCAACACGTTTAGGATTGAGCAAAACATGCAAGAAGGAAAAAAACAAAAAAGGGCATTTTATTAAAAACATGTCTGACAACATCTGATTCACACTTAAAAAGTATTTTTCAAATAAAAAGTGCAGATCTGATGCATGGTAATTCTGCACAGTATGTATACTGTTTGTGAAGGGTGACTACAAAAACATTCAGCATAAAATAAGAACTATAACAATGGATTTAATCATATAATAAAAGCTAAGTTGTAAGTGTATGTTCATCAGCAGAAGCAGGGAACACTCTGATTATATTATTGTGTTATGTCGTATCAAATTATAGTAAAATGGAGGGAGGAGGTTATGTTTATTCTTGAAAAAGTATATTACAAATGAATTAGCCTAAGTGGTATTTTGAATATTTAACTTTTGTGCAACTAAAATACAATTTACTACACTAAAATGCTTCTGCTAAGATGGTACTGTATTTAGGAAGTCCTGTTAAATTAAAACTCTAAAAGCAACAAGCAACTCTTCTATAGTCTTTGACTACCACTGACGTGTACAACATATCTATTTTAAACCATTTGAGAAAATGAACTTCTCATGTTCTCAAATTAATTCTCAAGTCATTACAGGTAATAATGAGGGAATATTATTCAGTGAATAAACAGTTCCTAATTACTATCAATATTTAAACAGGGTTTTAACTACAATACCTCTGTGTAAATATTTAGTTATTCCTGACTTTGTTGGAAACACTGAAGCAACAGTGTTCTGAAATGCAATTTAGTGAAAGCCTCAGATAGTAGAAAAAACTTTTTGCTGTCCGCTTATTCAGAATTGCACACACCAACTGCATGACTGAGGGTTTCGAAGTCATGAGAAAATCTAAGGTGTGACGCACGCGCAAAGAAATGTATTTTGCTTGCTGAATAAACAACAGAACGAATTAAGACAATACAAACATACCTCTGTCAGTTTTCACAGCAGACACATTGTCTTGCTGATTTCTTGCTGGTGTGTTCTTGCTTTCCCCAGAAAGCACTAAGTCCAGAGCCTTCTGTGGGTCAAACTGGCAGCTGAGTGCAGCTTCTACCAACACAGGATCAGGGATGGAATCGCCAAGCACTGTTCGCATCTGATCTAGACAGGAGTACAGCTGCCCTGGAAACAAGAAGTGTGTGAGGGAACTGTGCTGATCGCCTTTCATTAACATCAAGAAAATGTTATATGACTTGCAAACTGATAGCGTCATCAAATTAATGTCAAATCTGTTAAAATCACTTGAGCTTTGTGTTATACCTTGAGAAAGAGTGTCAAGTTTGTGATGGTTCGGACTGGGAGAGACAGGCATTTCCTCTTCGGCCCCATACTCCTCCTCCAGGGGCTCTGCATAGGCTGCCTGCTTCTCATGTCGGGAGTAGATGAACTGGGCAGCTGCAAAACAAGCACACTGGGATATTAAGGGGGGAGACGCACAAAATCTATCATCCAGAATTTCCCGCCTTACGCATGCGCCATCATTTCATCTGCAGAAAACTGTGACACAAGAAGTCAAGCTGCCTCATTCCATGGTGGGGGATCGTTTTGTAACTATACTGGCAACAAAAAAATTCAAAACATTAAGACAGTGAACATCAACATACATGAGTCGCCACAATTCAATAGGTTACTTAGCATCCTTACACATGCAAATCATCTGTCCCTTTTCCATAAATTGCCTCTTCATTTCTCCCAAAATTCACTAAATTGATTTACTTTGTTGAATGTATTTACTCTCAAGGATACTCTGGACAAATCACACTAGTTGTCCAAAAATGATTTAAAACCTGGCTGAAAGATCCAAAACGTTTATTTACAAATAACACTAAGCATCTGAAAGTAAAAACTTACTGTGGACAGATAGCTTTAACACAGACGTCACACGTTTTAGTAAACTGTTTTTTAATTGTGTTCAGCTACAACTGATGCCAAAAGAGGTCAAATACCAGACCACTTGCAAACCCACTGCCACATTATTCCATTGTGAATGGATAATCCTACCAGGCAAACACGAATTTTAATAAATTGGTTGAGTAACTAGAGAGATGCAAGATATTACAAATGGCTTTGACCAATAAAAGATATAGACATTGCATACTCATCTACTAGCTCAGATGACACATCATCCCAGAATGCTTCTGTTCATTTGTCTTTAGTTTAATACTGATAAACCTGCCACACCAAAATATGACTTTATTCAAAACTGTAGTTTCTTGTTAAAGTTAAATAAGTATGCAAAGAAGACAATTGCATGTTTTAATACAATATCATGTGTAGAATCATAAAAATGCAGAATATCCAACTTTTAACAATCCATATTTACTGCCAAGAAAGAATTTAAAAAAGAAAAGTAATAAAAACCCTAAATGTGTGAAACATCACCAAGTCTTACCACAAACAGTGTGATTATGTTAAAACTATACTAATCAGAAATAGTTTCACACTTATCCATGCGCATCCATCATGTGTAGTTCATACTACACAAGATAAAAGCCAATGTTCAAAACATTACAAAACAAAATATGCAGATTTTTCATCCACTTAATTTAGGTTTTATATCGAATCCTTTGATTAGCTTTCAAATTGAAAATAACCAAGTTGCATAAACGTCCACATCTTCAATGAGGTCCATGTTCAACAAATACAGTGCTTAGACCACTAGAAAACCATCTAATCAAATCGGCAAAATCTTGATTCAGAAAACTTTAGAATTCAAGTTCAGACACATAAGAAACGCATCCCACAAACCTGTAGCAGGGGAAATGCAGTAGTCATCGTCCACGGACTGCCCATATAGATCATCATCTTCAAAATCTGTGTATACAAAACTGTAGCTGTGAAAATATCTAAGCATGGTACACTATGTATTATCTGTCGTTGCACACTGGTAGGTATTTGCAATGAACAGTTAAGTCTTATGACACAAATTGTGTTAACTACTAAAAGCACCTAAACACCAAAACTATTTACATAAAGCTACAGAAGTTCTATAATGTTCAATAATGACTAACGTACAGGGGTGTCCTAAACTATCAGTACTGCTAATTTGAAACGAGGAGGAGGCCAGGATGAATGGGGGGAAATGTAAAACCACATGAAGTACATCTTGTTTTGCTTTTTAAAGGAAAGATTCAGTTTCATTCCATTCGCAAATTCGTACACAAAAGCGCTTTTATAGAATAACTACAGCTATTTTTATGTATCCGCTAGCTCGTATGTTATAAAACTTTCTGACTAAAGCGTTGGCCTGTGCCCAGCCTGTGGAAGGGACACGACAGCACTTCCATTTTCCTGACAAGGGAATATCACAATCTTACAGTCAACTTGGAAGAGCGTCTACCTTCGTCGTAGTTATAGCCCCGGACATTTCTGTGTCGAGACATTTTGGATTCTTTCCCTTCGCCCCTTTATAGGTGGTTAAAGATAAAACCGCACTGTTGGTGATAAATCAGCAATGTAACCGTAGCTGCTTCGTTTCATTTTCCAGCCGCCATGTTTGTTTCCACCGACGTCTCACTGCGCATTCTCCAAGCAAGCGCACTGCAGCTCTCTGCTCCAGCTCCGTTTTTCTGCCTGTGCCGAGTTAACCATTGAGACGCGCCGAAGTGAAATTAAGTTAGTTATTTCAAGCAATAGTCCTACACCTGCTCACCTAAATTGACATGTTACAGTCAATCTTTAGTAAATATTTGGATCTGTAACACAATGAAAGTGGAATTCTGAATTCAATACTGCTGCGATCATAAACTGAAATATTCCAAACTATTGATCCACTGTACTCCAAAAAGAAAAAGAAAATACTTAAACTGGAAAAGACAAGCATGTTAGCATTTTAAGAAACTTGTTAATTTTCCAAAGATGCAATAGGGCTCTTTCTATTTTGTTCTTACTTTTACTTTCTCATGACATATGTTAGTGGGGGAGGAGGCAAGGGGGTGTCATGTTGTGTAATTTATGAAACCAAACAATCTGTGGCTGAGACTTTTAAGTCATAACAAAAGAGGACAACGATGCAGGTACAATCTGCCCTTTTAAAATGTGCTAAACGCGTTGTTATGGCCTGAACAGTTCATGAAGGTTAATAACTGTTTCACCTGCTGTTAACATTTTTACAAGGTTATGACAACAGCAAGCTGCACAAGCTGATCAATCACTTGTCGTAGGGAAAAACATCCTTTTGAAAATGTAGAAGAGACGCATATTTGGGGTTTCCTGCAGGTTACTCGGGCACAGGTTGAGTGTGTTTTGTATTGTCTGACTCAGCTCTTCTTAACCCTTTGTTTGAAAGGGAGCATAAACTCACAATCCAGAGTTTGTGACTATATTCAGCACACCTAAATTTCTTTCAAACAGCTAAATCCAGTTTGGTTCTCTTCGACAATCTTTGGAAAGTTAGACTGTAATTTTTATTGTTTCAAAGGTGTAATGAAAAATATTAAAAAGCACTTCAAAACACCGGAGACTAAGCTGTTTTACATACAGTACTAACAGACCAAACATAACTTGGGAAACATGGAAGTGAGAACCATTCAGGATGCAGGTCCTAGTCATCCGTAGTCTCAAAAGGTTTAGAAGTGAATTGAAGTAGCTGACAAGGGGAGATCTGGAACAATAACAACTTCTAGTGGTTAAGAGAAGGCTCAATCCAAATAAGTCAGTAAGAACTCTGCTGTGAGTTAAAACCAAAAGAGACTGTGGCTGTCAGGGACCAGGGTCACAGACCCTGTAAGGAGTTTGATAATGCAGTTCTTTCTCTGTGATAGCCTCTTCTCTCACGTTCTGGTTTTACCTGAATTACTTACAGTAAGTAAACTGGTATAATATCCATCTTTGGCTTAGGCCAGTAAAAATCATTTAGGTGTGAAATGAGCCCAGTATGTATGATGGGTTAACACTGGTAAAGTAAGCTACCATTAGTATTCCATTCCATTAGTTATAATTTAAGCGGCTCAAAACCATTATACTGATTACATACCCGTTATTTTAAAGAGATATTTTGTACATTGTCATGGCAGGTAACATTGATGTCTCATAGCCCTAGTCTGGCCTAAGGTGTGACTGTGTCTCCAGATTTTGAAATGAGTTCTCTCCAGGTGCTCTGGTTTGCTCCCAACTTCTAAAGAAGTGCTGCCTAGGTATTATTGGCTGTGCTAAATTTCCGCTTTCTCCATGATTCTGCAATGGACTCAGGTCCCGTCCAGCGGAAGGCAACTCATGTGCTCTTGATCCTACCTGGATCCTACCTGGATCCCTCCCTCAAAGCTCTGCTTTGTTGTCTTGTGAAACAGCTTCTGGGATAGACTCCAGTCTCCAGTCTCCTGTCCTCTCATCGGGATAAGCAGCTTTCAGGTAATGGATGGTTCTCAAAGTGAAACTAAAATATTGTTCATTCAAAGCTTTACACCCTTGTAGCACAGAAGATCGTCAATATGAAGAACATGGCATGACAAAAATTTTAGCACACATTCCAGACATCTGATAAATTGCATGACATACAGTAGTTAAATTATTTAATTTCAGTGAACAGTCAACATGTAGCAGGAGACCTTCCTTTCAGGTAACTGCCAAAATATGTTTATTATGGTTTAATCTAAGTCCAAATTGAGTAAAATGTTTTAGTTACAGTGCACCCCTGATACAAATGACAGACCTCATTTTCTACTTACCAAAGCTTTGGAAAACAATACCGGTAGGTTTTGATGACTTGCACAGCCTACCCGATGTTTTAAACTACAGTTGGCACCAGCTGGACAGTCAGCTTAGATTGATATACCATAAAGTACAGTAGGTTTTACAGACACAAAAGTTGCAGGAGGAAAGAAATTGTCATGAGTGAAAAATTACATTTCCTCCTAAAATAACCTACAGTTTCAATCTATACAGTAAGGCAGAAATGAGTATTACTTAAAGGTGTTAAATAGTTTGCCTATGCTTACTTCTTTGGTTTCTTCTAAACATTTTGAACAGTCCCTCTCTGAACTGGTGAAGCTGAAGAGCCAGCAACATCAACATTATGTGACACAGCTTATATAGACATTGTTTTGAGAAAATAGTTCTTTTTGCTTGCACTGAGAAAGGCTAAGGTCTAAGTGTCCATTCACATAACAGCTGGGCATGTCGATGTCAGTGGAGCAATGACCTGACTGTTTTCAAATAAACATTTTTATAAGCAGCATCCACAGGAGATGAGACACCTTTTTGTGGACAGGTGTGCTGCATGCTGCAAGCAAATTTACAGATGTACCTTTTTCACTTTCTTCCTTTGTTCAATGTCATTGAAAGAAAAATCAGAAACCAAGCTCTGCTTTGTTGCCTTCTTAAACAGATAAAACATTATTATTTCTTCATCGAAACTAGAAGGGAAATTTGAACTAGGGAAGGATTTTCTTATTAAATCTGTGTGATATAGAAATAGGCTTAAAATCATAATGTTTGTACCCTAATCTCAATCCAGAATTTTAGAATTTCTGTCACATAAAATATACATTTCAAATAAAATCCCACATATGTATATTCAGAAGTATTTATTTTTCTGTCTAAAAGAAGATTATAGGAAGATTCTTCTTAAGGATGTTATAAAAGATTTTCAGTTGTTGTTCATTGCACTTAATGGCTTTCACAATACGATAAACTTGACAATTACTTTTATATTTGAGATATTAGTGGTAAGTGCTACTACAAGAATTCAAATGGATAGCAAGCACATTTTTGGAGATTCTAATCAATATGAATTTCAGGTATTTCAAAATGAGAAACTCTAGTTTCTTCTCAAACTAAGCTGTATTAATAACAAAGCTACTATAATAGTAGAACAGACTAATGGAGGCTTTTAGTAAATTGTTGATGCTCATAACAGATATATACATACTATTTTCTTATACTTCTGTACACAGCCATACAGTAGTATGCGGTATACTACTATTTTAAAGCATTTATTTTTTTTAAGGTAGTATGAGGTATTTCCTAACTCCACTCATTTTCCTGAAAAGGTGAATAGTTTACTTGGCAAATTGCAGAAAAAATGAAAAATCTGAAATACCCACACTGTGCTAAAATTAATTAGTACAATCCTCAAACAAGAGTTTCTCAAATATATACAGTACAGTACATCACAATAGTTCCATATCATAAAGCTTTTCTATAATGTAGGCCTGTCATTGACTTCATAACAGTTAAGTCTTTGTGAACTGTTGATAGAGCATTTACTTCCATTTCTTATGAAGGATGAATCTCGGCACCACTTTAACAAAGTTTTGTTATATTCTTATTCTTCTTTTTCTTTTACTTCTTGTTGCAAGGGAAAAAAAGAAATTAATCATTCTATGTATAATCATTATGTATAAAAAAATTGAAGTATGCAGATTTTGGATTTTGACTGAATGTTTTGGTGTCATTTTGATAAAGTGACTGTGTTATGCTTCATCAAATTTGTTAATGCTTTAAAATTGGTTTTGGGGCATTCAGGGCCACCAATTTTTAAATTGGCAGGATGGTACAGCTAAACAATATCCCTACAGAATTCTACCTGCAGTGACTGATGGCAACCGGAGTGCATGGCACTACATTGAACCAGTCCTGAGACCCCTGTCTCGCTGGCCTTCCATGTGACATTGTAACATGACAAAATTCCAGCAGAACAACACATGTCCTCATGCTTTTTGTGTACCAATGGCTTTCAGACAAGAAGAAAATGTGACAGCAATTTTATGGATGCCTTACCTGCCAGACTTGACCTCCACTAAATATTCATGTGATGATCTGGATCTTGGGCCCAGTGACCAGTGACTAGGCAAATGCTTGCTAGGTTCTGCAAGAGGAATGAGCCAGAATCTCACAAGATAGCAACTGCAGTCTGGTGCAAAGCAGGCATCGCACATTATTTTATTGCTTGCAACAGTGGTGACACACACGACAAACCTCTAACGTTCACTGTAGATCACATCAATCAACCCCATTGATGAGAAATGTTAAATAGTTTAATGAATTAGTAATAGGTTTATTCCATGCTGAAAAGAGAAGAGGTGTGAGCACCTGACGAAGGCTTCACAGCCGAAACCATGTGTTTTCTCTCTTCTCTTTTCAGCATGGAATAAACGTATTACTTGTTCCTTGGTAGACTACGCATGCTGATGCAGCTGCCCACCTGAACTAGTTTAATGAATTAACCTACAAAAAATGTCGGTGCACTAGGTACAGAAAACAATACCTTGCCAACTTTTATCAAGTCTCTTCTGGGTTCTATGTTCATGTAAGTCCTCAGTATTTAAGGTGTGTAAGGTACAGTATGCCATACCAGTGGCATTTAGACTTAAGACTGAGTCACTAACTATGGTCAAACGGTTGGCTCAATAAAAACAAAACAAATTCACCAGCATCTACTTGGAAGTGGGATGAGTATCCCATGGCTAATCTCCACTGTTGTTAGCAGTGGTTTTGATTGATGCAAAAGGCAAGGTTCCTGGAAATGTTATACATTTTGTCAGCCATGTCACAGGTCCCTGCGAGGTTTCAGCCACCCACGCTTTCTCAGCACTTAATATGCAGTTGCGTAAGAAAGATG